AAACCATGTCTGTTTTCATTTATATCATATTTACATATAAACAATCAACATGTATATGATGCTGTTATTTAGTCTAAAACACTAAATACTTTGATGTAAAACTGCAAATAACTAGTTATCACCAAATATCTAGTGTTTTTTTATGTTAGAGATGGCTTTTTCAAACCTTCATAAAGTGTAATTAAAGTTAGCAAAGCAAAAGAACAAAACATTGTTATTAAGTGATATCCATTTTAATAAAGTATTGCATAGTTGATGATATTTCAGTTGTCGAACAATATAAACATGCCCTCAGAGTTTCAAAAATTAGAAAACCATTTACAAAAATGATTGATACAATGTTTTTATCATGTTTTATACTTGTAAAGTTACTTTCAAGCTACTATTGCTAAGTAAGGTCGCACCAAGTTGTTAAAATAAACACCCAAAAGTAACCAGATCAAATATCAATTTGTCTTTCAGAAAAGTCTTATTTAAAATATCATAAATTCAATAAATTTAACAAGTTCATAGAAAGCAATACAAATTTTATTATTTCTTTATAGCGATATTTCTCTTCGTCGTTAATGTTTTGCGTGTTTTTGATTCCCTTTTATAATTTTTACACTTTTAAACATTTTAAATATAATAATATCATTGAAATATGTGACTTGGTCGAGTAGATATAAACGAAGTAAAAAGGTAGATCTTCAAGCGCAATCACTGTATTTTCGGTATTCTGGGGCTTTCCAATATGGCGGCCGTACAAAAAATTGGCTTCACTTTTGATTATAGAGATGCGCTATCCAGTTATTATAGCGATCAGTGGTTCAGACCAGATACAATGTGGTGTCGTTTATGACAAATATTTAAATAATGAAATATAATACAATGTATATAATAAACTTATATAATTTAAACATGGATTTGCAGATATGATTTAAAGCAAATAATATATTTATAAAATTTAGATTAAATCATCATGCCAAATAAATGTTGTGTGTATGCTTGTCACACCAACTATCTAAGTGAAAAAAACAAAATATCTAGTGAAGTTAATAAAATATCAGTGTATCGGTTTCCAAGTGATAACGTTGAGCGTGAAAAATGGATAAAAGCTATTCCAAACTCTAATTTGGTTGTTACCAAGTATACTGTTATCTGTGAGTTACACTAGCCTCAAAATTTTGATACAGTTATAGTACGTGGAGGAAAACGTCGACCAAAAAAAACTACTTTTATGACATTAAAAACAAGTTTATTGATAGCAGTGATCACCAATATCCAGTTATATCGTTTATGGTTGATGGCTATGTTGTTATACAATCTTTGCAATTTTTTAATGGAATACCTTTTTTTGTACTTAAAATTTATGAAAATCTTACCTTTGAAACATTTCATTATGGGATTAAGTATCACATTTCTAGCTTAACAGTAAATCGAATCTCAACTGTTGACTCCTGGCCTAAGTTTGATGAGATACTTCGTTTTTTAAGCTCTTTGAAAATTGATAATAAAAAAGAAGTAATTATGCAACATGTTTCAGATATGGGACCAAAATTAGTTGGAGATAAACTTTATACACCTGAAATACTTATACGCCCTTTTATATATTTCTTAACATCAAGGGCATTATATAATCGCCTAAGAAATGATTATCAACTTCCATCTATTTCAACACTGACTAGAATTACTTCAAAAATTTCTAATATTAATGAAAACAAATTTATTTATTCAATTTTTAACTCTCTTCCGGATAAGCAGAAATTATGTATCATACTACATGATGAAATATATGTTAAAAAAAGTTTGCTTTACCATGGTGGAACTATTTTTGGTAGATCAGAGGCTAACCCAGTGGAATTGTCCAAAACATTGTTAGGGGTTATGGCTGTTTGTTTTAATGGGGGTCCAAAGGTGTTAATTAAAATGATACCAATATCAAAATTACGATCTGATTTTTTGTTTGAACAGATTAATTTAACTAGTCAAATAATTGATTCAGTCAGTACAAATGTAAAAGCTATTATATGTGATGGGAATCGTGTCAATCAGGCTTTTTTTTTAATGTACACATTCATTCCGAGAAAACCATGGTTAACAGTAGATGGAAAGTATTTACTTTATGATTTTGTACACCTCATAAAAAATATTCGTAATCTTTGGTTAACTAAAAAAACTCAGGAATTAATATTTGACGATAACGGAGTAACCAGGATTGCAAAATGGACTCATTTAAAGCAGCTTTACAATGCAGAATCCAGAAGCTTTCTAAAGTTATCTGACCTGAATGAAACTTCTATTTCTCCTAAACCTGTTGAACAACAGTGTGTATTAACAATTTTAAGAGTATTTTCAGAAAAAACTTATGCTGCTCTTTTGCAACATCCTGACATGATTCATATTGATGTTAACGACACTGCTATATTTATTAATAAAGTTATTATTTGGTGGAAAATTTTAAATGTCAAAGCCATTGGTGCTGATACAAGGCATAATGATCCTTTGCAGGCTGTTATCAACAATCCTGATGACAACCGTTTAAATTTAATACTACAATTTGGTGATATGGCACTTAAAATGGCAGGTCCCAAAGGTAAGCGTATTAAACAGCTTTCTAAAGATACTGCAACTTGTATACATCAAACTTGTTATGGACTAGTAGATTTATGTAGATATTTACTTAACACTACGCAAAACTATGTACTTCTTGGTCAATTTACTTCAGATCACGTGGAAAAAGAATATAGTATACTTCGTCAAGGTTCTGGTGGTACATATTTTCTTAGTGTTCAACAAGTTATTGAAAAATTACGTATCAAACATGCATCTTTACTTTTGAAGTTAAATGTAGATATTGACAATTTTAATGTGAAGTCTGGTCATCAATGTGCGTTATGTGATTACATATTGTCTGAAGACTGCTGCGAAATTCTTGATAACTTGCAAGATCTAGAATCTTCTATTGCTGATGATGTTAAAATGTCACTTATTCACATTGCTGGTTATGTTACACGAAATGATAAAAAACGAACTGATTATGAACTTTTAGATCAAACAACGTTCTATTTTCAGAAATATGGTCAGTTTTCTAAATTTTTAGATCGTGGTGGATTAAAAATTCCAACTGATAATTCATGCCAATGGACATTTTTTTGTTTTGTAGTTTTTCAAATAGTTAAAGATCATGTATGCCGAAAATCTTTAAGTAGTATTTTTATGATTATATCAGACTATTATTTATTGGATATGGAAGAACATCATTATGTAATATTGAGCAACATTTTTTTTTTAAATTTATGTACCACTGTCACTCTAAGATCTGGCAAAGAACCTGCACTAAAATTATTAAAAATCTCTTAAAAGTCTACTTAGTTGTCTACTGTTTATAATATATTCAGTATACTTTTTTATAAAAGATTTATAAAGGTTTCATATATTAGTTGGTTTTCAGATTTTGTTAACAATTTTAATCAAAATTTATCTAATATTTTTTGTTTGGTTTAATAACATTTCTACTCAATATAAGAAAAAATCAATTTTGTATTTAGCTGTTAAAGCCAAAACTAAAGGTGAAATAATATAATTATGTAAATGTGTGAAATTTGAAATAAGAAAAAATTTCTTTGCCTTTTATTTACATTGTTTATTACTTAATATTAATTTTCTTTTTTCATCAAAAAAAATTATTAGGCTATACAGAGAATTAAAATTACTTTTTAGTTTTAAAATTACGAAGTTATTATCTTTTTTGCCGTAAAAAAGTAGGCCTCCACAAAAAAATCCGGTTGCGTGATGAATAGGCCTGTAGTAGAGAACGCTATGGATCAGTGATCAAAACGCTATGGATCAAAACCTTTATTTATGTTGCTTAAGATAACCAGAATTACGCGACTGTTAGTATTTTCGGTAACGGGCTTTATTTTATAATTTAAGTAATAAAATAATATATTATATAACATATACATAATAAAATGTTTATATATATAATATATATATATTTATATATATATATATATATATATATATATATATATATATATATATATATATATATATATATATATATATATATATATATATATATATATATATATATATATATATATATATATATATATATATATATAGGCTATATTGATAAGAAAATGAGCCCATCTGTTTCTAACATTGTTAATAGCTTAAATATAAGACACTTTAAGCTTCTATACATTAGAATATACTCTAATTTTACTAAAATGGAAAATTCAAAGATTGTTCAAATTGTAAGGATGTTCCAATAAAATTAATTTTCACCAAATAAAATACAAGATTGTTTTTGCTTAAGAGACACTTCCTAAACTGCTTAAATCTCGTGTTTTCTATAAATTTTCTGGCGCTGGCTGTAATGCCAGTTATATTAGAAAAACCACCAGACATTTGGCAAATAGAATAGAGTACCTTAAAAATGATAAACAATCTCATATATTTAAACACTTAAATGTATCTATTAATTGCAAAAATCTGGCTAACTGGGATTCTTTTGAGATTTTGGATGATGCCAAAACACAAATAGAAGATAAAAATCACATTATGCTTAAACGTATCTATTTATATTTACTTTCAGTTTATTATAATTTTTTTTTTACAGTTGGTTAATTTAATTGGTTATTACCAATTAAATTAACCAACTGTAAAAATAACTATTAAAAATATAAAGTTATTTCGTAATAAATATATTGGTTTATTATGTATAATTTTTGTCCGTTAATATTTCTCTTTTTTAAAATTTATTTCAGAGTTGTTTTTTTTTATTGTAGAATAACCTTTTAAAAATGTAAATAAATTTTATAAAACATGTCAAAATTAAAAAACATCGTATTATTTTATATATATATATATATATATATATATATATATATATATATATATATATATATATATAAATATATATATATATATATATATATATATATATATATATATATATATATATATATATATATATATATATATATATATATATATCTTTGTGTGTGTATATATGTATATACAAATATACTTGTGTAGATTCCTTTCTTTATGAATCTATTTTTAATGATAACCAATCTTGTTCTGTAGTTCATGTAACAGATTTTGATTTTGATGATACTTCTTTTTTTGCATATCCATTGGATAGTAGTAGTAGTGAAGAAAGCTGTGCAGACAACGAAGATAAATCTTTCCAAAAAAAATTTTCTAATCTTGTGCAAAAACACAATGTTTCCAAACAATTTGTAGAAGATCTTCTTAAGCTATTAAGGGAAATTAGCCATTCAGAACTTCCTAAATCATATCGAACAACAATGCATCTAACTTAAAAATTCAAAAAAGGTGTGGTGGCGAGTATATTTATCTTGGTCTTAAAAATACTTCATTAAAGTTTGTAGAGTGTGAATTGTAAAAGTATATTACCATATTGTAAAAGTATATTACCATGCTGCATAGAAAGATTGAAATAAGTAGACTTGATTCTTTTCAGTGATAATTTATATCTGCATATAATCATTTTTAGATCCCTTTGAGAAGCTACGGTTTCCACTAAGCGATGCTGGTAAGGTTATTTTAAGGTCTAGATTTTTAGATTTGTTATTTATTTTTTTTACTCTTTTTTTTCTATTCACAGAAGTTCAATGGAATTCTTATTTAGTTGAACTTTGAAGATGAAAATCCTTTCAAAAATTATTCCTGTGTAAAATGTGTTAAATAGGTTTCTTATTTTAAATGCTAGAAAGGAGCACTATGGAATTTAAAAAAATAAATCAAGGCTTCTACAAGAATTTTTAATTGCACAAGATTTTTTATCTTATTTGGTTTCAGAGTACCAGAAACTGTCACTTGGTTTCTTGTGGGAGATAAAAGAAAACGTTGTAAATTGCCGTTGGCCAATAGAAGAAAAGGATAATCATGCAATAAAAATGATGGCAACGATGGAAGATTTTAATGCCTTTAAAAGAGAGTTGTTAGACGAACAGAAACGTTCAATCATGGTATTTGTTATATTTTTTTTATGTATAGTTTTTTAATATTCAAACAAGATTGAAAAGTTATGCATTTTCCAATATCTTGTGATTTTAGTAATAAAATTTTATAAGTATGGTAAATGAACCTCACTATAACCAGAAAGCTTTTTTTAAACATCGTTGCTAAAGTATTTACTTTTGTGTTATCTTTCAGAGAAAATCTTTACGTCAAGTCCGTGGTTTAGATGCGAAATACCAAGTAAAAATGATACTGGAAAGGTACACTTTCTATTAGCTAAACAACATTGCAGCTTTCTAGTCTTTATTTTTGTTTATGTTTGATTCATCTGTGTTGATAATAATATCGCCTGTTTTTAAAATTTTATGTTGTTAGGTAAAACATCATTATATTTCAGGCTAAAATAGAGCTTTGAACAATACGTTTATCTTGTTTAAATAAATAACAACTCTGAAGGTATATTAGCTGAATTATCTTTTCGTTTTTGATAGTCCTTAGTCAATAACGGATTTTTAAATTGTTATGGGTCTGCAACATTTAATTTCAATAAAATTAAATTAAAAAGTTACGTCATAGAAGACAAGAAAAATAACAACATCTGTTTTTGGTAAATGCTTAGTTTGCTTTAAGTATTACATAATATAATACATCGTTGTACATTCATTTTGATAATAATAAATTTCTTTAGCATACTCATTTATTATATTTTTAGACTGTTTACCGTTGGACTTCTGTCCCAATTTAACTAAGTGGAGACAAAAAGAAGGGGGTTGAAAAGGTCAGCCGTTTTTGAATTAATAGTCGGTAAGTCTAATGTGTTTCACTCAGCTGATAAAATTTCATTTGCTATTTCATATTACAATAAAACATGTGACTGTTTTTCATGTTCACTCATTTTTTAGAAGTCGCAGCCAGCTCGTATAAAAAGACTTCTCGACGAGAAATAGTTAATTTTATTCAGAGAAAGCTGAAGAACGCCCCTGATCAAATCGGCGGGTTGCGTATGCAACAACGCCAAGAAACAGAGGAGAAAGCTCAAGAAACAGAGGAAAAATAGGATAGTGAAACTAATGTGGAATTTGGAGATGAATCTGCTGATGACTCTTAATTTATTTAACTTAATTTAACTTAATTCATTTAACTCTTAATTTAATTAATATATTCTTAGGGGGTCCATAATCGTCTTTTTTTAGATTTTTTATAGTTTAACCACTTTTTCTTAATTAGTTTTTTATGCTGATTCTGAAAATCATAATCATTTTTTTTCATTTTAATTATTTAGCCTTCTACTTCGATTTTAATAAAAGTGAATATATTGACAAAAAAAGGCATTTTTAAAATTAGATGAAATTATTATTACCATTAAATATAAGAAAAGTAGAAAACTATAAATCTTTTTCTGTTTAATTTATCAATAATATACTTTATCATTTATAAGTAACAAAAAAAATTAAGTATTATATATGAAAATAATTTATACAGTTTGTTATTTACTATTGAAAATGGAAAATAACTATAAAAGTCATCGTATGTGAAAGAGAGCGCTGCGTGAACTTTTCTTATAGAACATCGAGGTTATGAGCGTGTTCTTTGGTACACATAAGATAGAGGTTTGTATTTTTATATCAACAATCATGTATTTAAACAGAATAGACCTCCGCGACAATGACCTACATTGTATTCCTAAAATAAAAAACCTCATTTTTCGAACTTTTTTTTCATTTTAACATATCTTTATCTACTTCAATAATGTCTAGTTCACAGCTAAATGGGCTGCTTGTAACTTTAATCAAGCTAAAACAGAACTCATCTTGCATACCTGATGTAAAGTTTGCTGCTTTTCCATTGTTATCCATTTATTTTTGTAGCTGGTTTCAACGATATTCCATAGTTTCAACCTTTAGGACAAATAACTGGACAATAATTCTCCAAAATATTTTTAAACTGCGCGAACCTTCATTTTTTATATGGTTTACATAATTAAGTATACATCTACTGTTGAAATTAAATGGGTTTTTCCAAAGCTTTCCAACTGCAACAACTTAATTAGAAAGTTAATACTAATCATATTCCTTCATCAACCAAACACATAATACTTTTCTCTTTTTTGAAGTCCTGAGGCTAACTTTTGCCAAAATACTCTAGCAAGAATGATACAATCCAGTGGCGGAACTACTGCGTTGCGGAGGGGCCTACCAGCTATAGGGAGCCCTCATATAAAAAAAGTTATACTCTCAACAATATTTATACTATAAAACTCTTTTCCGCAAAAAAAACATTCTTTTGCGGAGGGGGGCCCAAATTTTGAAGTTCCGCCACTGATACAATCACTCAACCTCTTTGAGGTATACTTATCAACTGCTTCTAGAATTTTTTTTAAGTAGCTATTCACTGTGTTTTAGAGTAAAGCAGAAAATTTCAAAATTTGATCACCCAGTTTGTTTTTTATAAAGCCTTTTAGGTAGCGGTGTTGCTTTATACTAACTGTTTATCTTTAGAATTGTTAAAACTTTAGAATTTAACTGAACTTCTACTGACTGGCACTTTAAAAGAAGATTTATTCTTGACTTCATTAAAGATAAGTGAAGAAAAAAAATGAAATCTTGAATAGCCTTCTTGATAGCTTGAATAACGATTAAAAATTAAAAAAAAAAAAGGAAATTAAGATATTTTAAAGCAATCTGTCTTTTTGATTACTTAAAACGTTTTGTTTAGAAAGAGACTTCAGATAAAACTTTTTTCCTTTCTAAAACGCAACGATTAAAAATCAAATTTATCCAATCAAAATTTGAATTGCGTAACTTTATACGCAATGAAACTTTTGCAAAGACTTTAATTTTTTATATCTTTTAAATTTTTAAAATAGAAGTAGAAGGTCAACCATAAAAAATTAGCAAAAACTGAATCGTTTTTTAAACTTTTCTCAAAAAATTAATTAAGAATAACTGGTTGAACAAAAAATATAGAATTTTGGACCCCCCTAATATTCTGCTGAACAATATTGCTGTTTTATTTATAAATAATTCTCCTTTGTTTAAACCTATAAAAGATAAAGAAAATGCTTCCTTTATATTGACTTCTAAATAGAGGTTTTTTTCTTGGCACCTTACGACGCCCAGAAGAAAAACTTTTTCAGATGTGTATAATTTGTTAATTATGATTAACAAGTACGATTAACGTATTTTGTATGCCTTATCATGACAAGCTAAAGACAAAAAAGACGTCTTTTCTATGTCGAAAAAAGATGTTTTTTAGATTTACATAATCGACTAAAAAAAGACGTCTTAAAGTCCCATTTTTCATGTCTTTTTATGACAAGATAAAAACAGAAAAAGACATCTTTTCGATGTCGAAAAAAGATGTCTTTTAGATTTGAATAATCGACTAAAAAAAGGCATCTTAAAGACGCATTTTCATGACTTTTCATGACAAGATAAAGACAAAAAAAGACGTCTTTTCGATGTCAAAAAGAGATGTCTTTTAGATTTGCATAATTGACTAAAAAAAGACGCCTTAAAGACATCGTAAATAAGACTTTTAAAGGCGTCTTTTTGACGTCTTTTTCCCACTGGGAAATAACAAGAGCTTCGACGCTTAGGGGTCGTCCATAATTTACGTCACGCTATAAGGGGGAGGGGGTTGCTCGTTTTGTGACGACTCAAACAAAACTTGCTTCTTAAGTGTTACGATTTTGTGACGAGGGGGAGGGGGAGGTGAAAATCTGTCAAAAAATGCATGACGTAATTTATGGACGATCCCTTAACAGAAAATATGGTTTAAAAAATGTTCGTGAATAGGCCTGTTATAAATTACGCGATGAATTTTTATTATCAAAGGTTACTGATGATAATTAAGTTTTATCTTCTTCAGGTTCTCTGGTCTCTTAACTATTATAAATAATGAAATGTACTTGTATTTAATATTTTTAAATATTTTACTGGAAATTACCTTAAATTGTAAATTGTTGCTTGACAAAACAAAAAAAAAATAAAAAAAGCATTTTTTGCAAAACTTTGAAAAAAGTTGTTTAAAGGGGGATTAGCTGTTAAATGAGTAAGTTTTTAAATCTAAAAGTTCTTGTTTTAGAAAATAATTCACTAAGTTTTTAAATTCAATGCATTACAAAATAAAACTGCTGCATCGCCAAATGTGTTTATCCTTAAAAAAATTTGCTGACCACAGATACAAACTTTACGAACAAGGATTAGTCTGTTTTGATGTAAAAATTAATTAGCCTTTATTCTTTAATGCTTTCAATAAATTCTGCCAGAGGAGTCATCTTGCTTGAAGTTGTCGTGTACTCAATTTATTAGCCAATAAAATCGACTTTAAATTTTCGTAACGAAAATTTTCGTTGTTTACCGAGTTTGGGGTGCGCCGTTTTAAAGTTCGCTAGCCTATGTAAGTGGGCAATTTATTAGCTTCAATACATCCCAATTAAATACGCTAAAATTTAATTTTATTAATAAATAATTTTCTTTAGAATATTACGGCAGAGTGGCCGAGCGGTCTAAGGCGCTGGTTTAAGGCACCAGTCACTTCGGTGGCGCGAGTTCGAATCTCGCCTCTGTCAAATCGTTTTATGAAATTCATAAAGTTATTTACAATTTTTATAAAATAAGTTATTCTAATATATTAATTTATTGGTAAAATTATTATTTTTTTTAAACAACTCTGAAAAAAACAAAATATTCGAAAAAACGTTTCGGAAAGGTTCTTAAATAATGGTAAATAAATGAAATGATATTTAACTCATATTAAGAGTTAAATAGTATTATTTCATTTATTTAATTTCATTTGTTTATAGTATTATTTCATTTATTTACCCTTATTTAAAAACTTTTCCGAAATGTTTTTTTTTTTATATTTGTTTTTTTTTAGAGTTATTTAAAATTTATTCACCAATAAATCAATATATATTAGAATAACTTATTTTATAAAAATTGTAAATAACTTTTTAAAAAAGATTTGACAGAGGCGAGATTCGAACTCGCGCCACCGAAGTGACTGGTGCCTTAAACCAGCGCCTTAGACCGCTCGGCCACTCTGCCATATATTTCGCAAGAAAATGTTTTTTAAAAAAATTAAATTTTAACGTACTATAATTTACATAACAAATGAAAATTTATGTCCAATATGTAAATATGTCCAAAGAAAACAAACCCTGCTCTACATGCTGCGGATGGACGGTACCACCTTTCATGCTACACAAGTTTTATGACCACTGGAAATGTTAAAAAAACAAAACAAAAGGGTTGTAAGTCCCAGCAAACACGCTTTCATCGGACCGTGATGCGTAAATCCGCCGGCATGCCGATGCTGGTCCACTGTAAAACCTAAATACGGCTTGCCGCCGTTGCAAAATGCTGAAGGTCCGCTATGCCATTTTTTGTTATCGGCATTTTTTGTTGCCGGCTGAAGAGCGGCAAATCGCTTTTAAAATGGCATGTCAGCATCGGTAAGTACATCGCAGTACGCTTTAGTTTTACCATAGTCATAAAAATCTGTTATTATGACTATAGTTTTACCAGAGCTTGCATACACCGTGGTTCAAAACAAATGTTTATAAACCTCGACTTATAAACGACCTATTTAAGGTCGATACAGTGTATTGTATAAATACACTGGAAAAGAAAGTAATTGTTTTATAACAAAGTTTTATAGTTATAAATTAGCGGATTATAGATATTAAATATTTTAAAAGTATCAAATATTACAAATTCTTACAATATTTTATTTAAAAAAAAATAAATATAGGGCGGACTTAAAAACGGCTTACCCCAAACAAGGTATAAAAGTCAATTTTCATTAGCTAATGAATTAATTTCACTTAACCACGTTTGTTTATTTTTTTTATTCATTTATCTAACCATAAAATTGCAAAAATTAAAATTTTACAAAATTAGGTTTGGTGTCACATGTTGTAATATTAAGGTGTAATGACTAGTTAAAAACTAGTCATTACGCCTTAAAAAATAAACAAATAAAGCAAAAAACAAACAAACAACAACAAGTATTAATATAGATAGTGAGCAATAAAAATATAATAATAATAAAATAAAGAACAATATTAAAAAGTCAGAAATAACGCAAAAAAAGGAAAAAATGAATGAGGTGACACGAAAGATAATGAATGCGACAGAACAACGTTAAACGATCAGCAGCCGTATTCACGTCTCTCCATTAAATTAACGAAGAGTTCAAGTGACCGTTACGAAAAAAATTGTTAACGGACCGTTACGAAACGGATGGAGAAAAATAGTATTCTTGTCCTTCCGTTAAGTCACCGTTTATTAACCGCTCCGTTAACTTTGTCAGTTAAATTTCTTCCGTTAGCCCGCTTCGTTAGCTAACTTTCGTGCTGTTTTTTACATAGCATCCAAATGTTCTTATTTTTTACATTTTTAAATTAAATTTTTTATATTTTTAGAGTTAAATTATAAATTATAAATTTTTTTTTTTTTTTTTCTGTTTACATTTGCCGTAAAATAAATACTATACTTTACAAGAACAAAGAAAACAAGGCTTCTGAAAGAAGATCAACTGATCAGAACCTTTACAATTTTATCATACTATAAAAACTGAAAATATAAATCCAAAAACGGCCGTAATAATAAATATATAATAATAAATTCATAATATTAATCACGTATCTGTAATAATAATTCTCACAAATCTGTTATAATAATCCATAATAATAAATTTTATAGATCTGAAATAAAATAAAGAAAATAAATTTATTAATATAAATATTATTATAAATCTCATAAATCAAGTTTATACTTCAAGCTAATAGTAACTTAAAATGTCATCTATAGCAAGAATGAATTTTTTTAATTCATTTTTAAAAACAGAAAAACGGATTAAAGGATCAAAATTAGGCAGAACTATTTTATTCCAAAGGTAAGGTGCTCTATAATTAATACAAAATTTATTAAAATTTGTTCTACAAAATGGTTCATTTAGCAAATCTTTATTCCTTAGTGAGCATTTATTAATAAGTTTTAATAGAAAAAGGTCGTTAAAAACAGGTAGGGATAAATTGTTTTTCCACATATAAGTAAAACATAAAACATTGAAAACATTAAGTATTTTTATTTCATCAAAGAAAGGCTTTGAATGTGTAGAGCGGTCCACATAATTAATCACGCGAATCGCATGTTTCTGTTGGCGATATAGACGTTGTAGTTTACTTTTTTCGGTACTACCCCATGCAATATTTGCGTAGTTTATATAGCTGTGTATGAATGAGTAATAGAGCTGCGTAAGGCTTTTTTTTGCTTAAGTAAGGTCGGGCTTTATACAAAATGCCAATATTTTTAGATACCTTGGTGGTTACATGATTAATATGGTTGTTCCAAGTAATATTCTTATCAAGATAAAAACCTAGGAATCTTATAACAGAATCTCTTTTTACTAGAGTTTCATCAATATAAATTTGAGGCATAATATCTGGTAAAGAACATTTTTTTGAGAAGGAATGAAAAAGAATCCATTTAGTCTTGTTAGTATTTAACGTTAATTTATTACATTTAAACCATTTAGAAATGTTTATAAGTTCATTATTAGTTTTTGAGAAAAGTTTGTAAACATCAGTGTGGGATTGAAATAAGTTAGTGTCATCGGCATAAATAATACTCATCAGGTTAGAGGCTTTGTTTAGATCATTGACATATATAAGAAATAGCAGCGGTTCAAGAATAGAACCTTGTGGAACACCACAGGTTATATTTAAGGATCCACTTTGAACGTCATTATTACTATAGACTACTTGCTTACGATTTGTTAAATAGCTTTTAAACCACGCTAAAGTATTATTGTTTAAACCGTAATATTTCATTTTTTGTATTAAAATATTATGGTCAACCGTATCAAATGCTTTTGATAGATCTATAAAAATACCTAATGTATATTGAGCTTTATCAAAGGATTTGGAGATGTTGCATACAAATTGAATAATGGCATGCTCAGTTGAACTATCTTTTTTGAAGCCGAATTGATTATTGTATAGTAAGTTATTGTAATTAAAATAATTATTAACTCTGTTAAACATAATTCTTTCTAGGATTTTGGAGAATACAGATAGGATAGAAATGTGGCGGTAATTACTGATATTGGATCTGTCGCCTTCTTTGTGAATTGGAATAATTTTAGCAATTTTTAGCTGGAATAACTTTAGCAATTTTTATTATTTTAGCAATTTTTAAAATTAACACCATCAAAAACAATTTAATTGGAGTTTCTCTATACTATGAAATTAAGTTACTCTATAAAACTCCATCGCTCCATCACAAATTAAAAACGAATACAAAATTAACAAACCGTTTATTATTATAAAAAAGGAATTTGAAAATGAGTAATTTTATTCAAATAAATTATTGTCAAAAATGTCGCAAAGCAAAATCATCACGAAATTGGAAATTATTTTCAGCTACAATATCTTCATTATCAATTTCATCATTTTCGATTGGATTTTCATCCATGTCTCCGTCATTTAACTGTATTGCTAAATTATGCAATACTGCGCACGCAGCAATTAAGGTACAGGTTCTTTCAGAGGTCATTCGAATTTCACCATGAAGTAAATGAAAGCGTCTTTTCCACCTTCCAAACACTTGTTCAATTATAACCCTTGTTTTTCTTGAAGATATATTATATCTACGCTGAGATGCTGTAGTTGGATTTAAATAGGGCGTAAGTAACCAAAAGTGAACTGACTCGTTTATGTGTATTATCTAAATGACTCTTACCTTTCTCAAACAATCTATCAAAAATTGTTTATTACACACAAAAAAAAACACTTGATTTTTTCTTATCAAGTTTAGTTATTATGCTGCTTAATTGTTATGTCTAATATTTTATGCTGAGCTAATTTTGAGTTTATTTGTTATTATGAGCTTAATTTAAAGAATATATAAATATAGTTGTACTTGATATATAATTATATTTAACATAATCATAATGTATATCAAACATATTGTAAGGGCTTTGTGATAAGATCATTACGATCTTCTTGAAGTCCGGCGTGTACTATTATAAATTTCACTATATATTTTGACTCACGAGACTTGTAAATATTACAACTTTTAATTTACGAAACTTGTAAATGTTATATGTACGGCAAATATATGAATAAAAAAAAATAAAAATAAATATATATAATATATATATATATATATATATATATATATATATATATATATATATATATATATATATATATACATATATATATCAGAGTATCATATGAAAACATTATTATAGATTTATAAATAACATTTTGAAAGTCTCTTGCTCTTGTGGTATTGTCCTCCGAACGTAGAGGATTTTTTCCTGCTGCATGTGCTTTAAGCACATGTAGCAGTGCTTGTAGTTTTCATGAATCAAGCTCAAAAAGTAGGCATTAGTTATACCAGCATACTTTATGTTTTGAGTTATACCACCATGCTTCAGAGTAGAAAAAAAGATGAACATAGAGAGTCTTATTATAGCAACATCTTCTAGCAGTTTAATAGCCGATCTCTGTTTTTGATATAAAACCCTTCTTCTTGCTATTGTTGTGAACTAACTTAGAGGAGATGCTAAACAGCTAAATTTAAGGAGAGAATCAGTCAGAAGGAGAGGTTATATATTTATAACGTGGAAAGAAAGTTGGAATGACTATGTTAGTGATAAAATCAAATAATTGATTAAAAAATAAATTTGAGGCTATAGGAGGTTTACAAAATTATTTTACCAAAATACCATTTTTTTTAAAAACTGAAACAAATCTAGAAATTTAGAGATAAAACTTTAATATGAAGTAAAGTTTAAAATCACAGTTTGCTATTAAAGATAAAAAACGTTTAAACTAGGGGTGCACCGATGCCTTCTTTTGGCCGATGCCGATGCCGACAGGTACAAGCCGATGCCGATGCATCGGCCGATGTATCGGCATCGGCCCTGAAACTGGATATATGATGGAAATATACACCTGAATGGAAATGCCACATTCCATTCATGTGACGATGAAAGCAACATTTTGAAATTGTTATTGTTGAAGTTTATTTTCCATTATTTTTTTTATTGTTATCTTGACAATTAGAGCAATTACTTCAATTGAAAAATTTATAAATATTTACTTTCGTCATTTTGTTCGAATTAGAACGATTTTGTTTTTTATAAAGAATGAACGGAAGATTTTAATGCCGTACTTCTAATAATTGGCAAGTTTTTAGCAAATGTTTTTACGAAGTTAAAATATAAAACAATACTTATTTTAAATGTTTATCTATTAAACGCTTTTAATTTAATAAAATACTTTTTTATCATTTAATTTTAATATAAATGTAATGAAACATTTTGATTGTAAAGAATAACTGAAAAAGTTACAAAAAAACTTTATTTAAAGCAATTTTCTCTTCCAATTCCCATTTATTCAAAGTATTGTTTCAATTAAAATTTTATTTCTCTCATCTAAAAAAGGAAGAAACGACGCAAAAAAAAAAAAAAAAAAAAAAATTCTATACAATGTTATTCATTCAATTCAATTCAATTGAAGTTTAACTTTTCTTTCTCTTTTGTTCTACTCTTTTATAAAAATGTCGCGCGATGAAATAAAAACTTTTCTTTCTTAACGTAGAATTAAATTTAGAGATATTATTAAATTAGAATTAAAGAAACAATAAGTAAAGCAACGAAAAGTCCAATCTGGGACTATTTTGATATTCATGAAAAGAATCGCTCAAAAGCAATTTGTAAATTTTGCAAAATGAAAATATCAAGAGGAGGAACATCTGGAAAAAAAATGACAACATCTAATTTAAGAGGGCACATGTAAGCAAAACATATAAAAGTTTTCCAGAAAGTAGAAGATCTAAAATGTTTCAAAAAAATTAACACAGAAGAAAAAAACGTTATTGCATCTACTTCAACCAGTTAAGAGAATGATAATAGCAAAGTATCCGTTAGCAACAGTGTTACAGTTATTCTAGATCAAAAACATCGATCTAAGCTTGAAGAAACTATTAATAAGCATAGGAAATGGACTTCAAGTGAACAAAGAGCTCAAAAAAAAACTATGCTTATCGGAGAAATGATATGTGTAGACATTCAGCCGTATTCTTTAGTTACAGATCAAGGATTTAAAAAACTAATTATGCATATTGAACCAAGGTATACCGTGCCCTCTAGAAAACATATAACTGAAACAGATGTTCCTTAAATTTATGAAAAAATGAAAATACAAATTATGAATGATGTAGCAAAAGCAGATTTTTTGAGTTTTACCACTGACGGATGGACTACACATTACAATGATCTAAGCTTTTATTCATTAACAGGATAAACTCAGAGTTTAATTCTATGACAGCTGTGCTACAACTTAAAAAAATAACAGGCTCTCATACAGGTGTAAAGATATCAAAATTTCTAAAAGACTCTTTAAATGAATGGAAAATACCAACTAGCAAAGTGTACTTTGTCCTGTCTGACAATGCTGCTAATATGAAATTAGCCATAAAAGAAGCTGGTTTAGAAAAAAATTATCTAAGTTGTGTAATCCACACTCTTCAGCTTTGTGTAACCGATAAGCTTTTCAAACAGCATACAGTTGTAAATGATCTTACAGCTAAGTCTAGAAAAATTGTCACACATTTTCATCATTCACCGTCTTCCATGGATATGCAACATGAAATGCAACAACAGCTAAAGTTACCCCAACATTCACTTATACAAGATGTAGCAACATTATAGAACTCGACATTTTACATGCTAGAAAGACTAGTTGAACAAAAAACTTCACTAGCTTTATTTTTTATTAGAAATCAAAAGTGTTATGCTTTTAATCTTAATGAAGACCAATGTCTCAATTAGCTGAGACGCTTATCTTAGTTTTAAAGCATTTTGAGGTGGCTACACTAGAGATGAGTGAAAATAGGGCATCAGTGTCTCAAATTATTCCATTTATAGTTTCAATAGAAGCGTACCTAGCCTATGCTTAAGAAAATGCAGGTAAAATAAAAACTATAATAGAAGAGTTGAAAAAAGATTTTATCTCAAGGTTTTCCAGCTATAAATATAACAAAAACTTGAACATGTCTTCAGTTTTAGATCCAAGATTCAAACTTAGTTATGCCATATCAGATGAGGAGAAAGACACAAGAAAATCAAATATTCAAGAGAAATACATGAACCTAAATAAAACTGATATTACAGATTGCCTTTTAACTACCGACAACTTAACTCAATCAGATAATGAAACAAACACTTCATTTGAATCAACCCAAGAACCTAGCTCTCCACTCAAAAAATTAAAAATGGCAGAAAACATATACAATTTTTATCAAGTTTCAAAAGCACCTCTTGACACTGAATTAACAAAATCAACAAAAGTAAAGAACTGTAAAAAACTTTCAACAGAGGCACAAATTTATTTAGAGAAAAAGGAAAAAATGTAAGTTGTTTAAAATGATTTTTTAAAATAAGAACTTTGATAAATTTTTGTTCTTTTCTAATTTATAATAAATTATTATAGATAAAACTAAATTCTAAATTATCATAAACAAATAAAAGTTGAAAAATAAAATGAAATAAAATAATATTACTAATATTCATAAATATTTAACAACTTTTAATAATAAAAATTCGTGCTTTACATTTTAGTTTAGTTTTTTTATTTTTTGTTTACTTACTTTTCTTTTAGAACTGATGAAATAAACTTTTACTTATCACTGCCTAATCTGCATCAAAAAGAATGTCCATATAAATGGTGGGGAAATTACAAAAATACATGTATAAAGAAACACTCTAGTAGCAATAATATTTTAGACCTCTCATACCTTGCAAAAAAATGTTTAGGAGCTCCGCCTTCTTCTGTGTTCAGTGAAAGATTGTTTAGAACTGGGGGAAATATTTATGAATTGACACGGTCCCGACTAACTGCAGAACATGGAGAAAATCTAGCATTTGTGCATGGGAATTGGAAATTTTTTGGAGAAACGGAAGCAAAAAAATAGATTCACAATTTTATATAACATATTTTTTTACTTTTCATAACATAATAAAAATTTATATTTATTTTTAACATGACGCAAGTTGGTCTATTATGTTTTAAATATGTTATACTTTATGTTAATATTTTTTAAATGTGCATTTCTTGATTTTAAACTTCTTTGTAGAGTTTTGAATCCATAAGTTATATAATTAATGTACTAAATTATAAGAAAACTCTAAAAAAGTAGAAAGCCCTGTTAAAAGCACTAAAAAATTTTTAGTTTAGTGGTTGCATATATGCCTATATAATAACTTATTTATTTTTTTTTTTTTTATTTGCATTAACTTGTTTTTATTTGCATTAACTTGTTTTTATTTGCATTAACTTGCAACAACTTATTATTAATAAGTTAGACTTATACATTGTTTTTATGTTTATGGCGTAGTTCTATGTTTAGATATAATATAGAAACACAGAATCAAAAATAAAATTTCAAAAATTTCAAAACAATCGGCATCGGCCGATGGTTATCACGGCCGATGCCGATGCATCGGCTAAATAATCGATGCATTGGCAGGCCGATGCCGATGCCGATGCCGATGCATCTGTGCACTCCTAGTTTAAACGTGATAAAAACGTTTTAAAAAACATTTTAAAAACACTTCACCCATAAAAAACCTTTTGAATGACGCAAAAGATTTAAATCTGAACAATATATGACAGCTCATACTATTTATACTTTGTCTAACCTTTACTTATGTAATTACTAGTTATGTAAATACTAATTGTAAAAGTGAAATGCAAAACATGTATGAAAAATGAAGTTTGTGATATAAAGATTTATATTAAAAGTCTAGCTCTGTTAAAACAGCGTATTTCTCATGCCCAGCCTCTGTTAAAACAGCGTATTTCTCATGCCCAGCCTCTGTTAAAACAGCGTATTTCTCATGCCCAGCCTCTGTTAAAACAGCGTATTTCTCATGCCCAGCCTCTGTTAAAACAGCGTATTTCTCATGCCCAGCCTCTGTTAAAACAGCGTATTTCTCATGCCCAGCCTCTGTTAAAACAGCGTATTTCTCATGCCCAGCCTCTGTTAAAACAGCGTAAATAAGCTGGAAATAGTATGTATTTTAATCACTTATTATTTAAATTTATAGATTATTCTTTAAACTTACTTGAGAACCTGAAGAAATTTCATGCACAAGTAGTTCAAGATAATGGGGCATTGCAAGTCCTAAAATCAAAACATTAAAGGTCATATAATGTTTACAAATGTTCAGAAATATAAATTCAAGCGTGGCATTATGAATACCTTATATCATACAAGATGAATATACAAATATAAAGGTGAATATACAAAATATAAAGAATAAGATTATAAATCAATTGTTGTTTTTTTAGATACTAAAAACGATATACTTATATGCAATACATATGAAATACTAATATAAAAATAATATTTTACTGATATGAAATACTAATATAAAAATAATATTTTACCGATATGAAATACTAATATAAAAATAATATTTTACTGATATAAAATACTAATATAAAAATAATATTTTACTGATACTCATGAAATACTTATATGAAACACTTTCAGTAAAGTCATAGTTATCGAGCCACATGTGTGAGAGAAATACTCATATGAAACACTTAATTTCAGTAAAGTCATAGTTATATACCTTTAAAAGATTTCACCCACTCCCCTCCATCCCCTTATTTTTTTTGTAGAATCGCCTCTGTGTGGAGTGGAGGATTTAATATATGGTGAAGAGGGGTGGTATTACTATCCCTCCCCCCCCCATGCCTTTTACAACAGTTGAATGGAGCCCCTCCTCTAACTTAATTTCCCTCTTTATTTAAAAGTATATCTTATTAAAAAATTTTTAACGCTTTTACTAGAAGAGGTTTTGAGAAATATAGTCGTCTAGAAGTTCTCGCCGACTGTATTTCTCAAAAAACCATGGAAGTATAAAACAGATGGAAGTTCAACCGCATTGAAATTCTTCGGGACTATGCTCGTAACCTTTTGTTTCGTAAACAATAGAAAACGACATGAAAACTGTACTTAAACGCCTAATTTTTATTCGTTGACACAAATAGGTACGTTTATAATAATTTAAAAATAAAGGTTCAAGAAAAACATTAAAAGTGGTGCAGCAAAATGGCAAACAACAACTTTTTTATAAACTTCATATTAAATGAATTGAGTACTACAAGAATGAATGGAGTTATGATATACGGCTAATAAAACTTTAAACTTTAGTTATTTAGAAAACAATTTTTTTGATTTTTTAATAACTGTTTTAGCTGTCTTTTTTATCAAATGTCGTGTTATGACTTGAAGCAAGAAAAGAAGCTTAAACTAACATATGCTTTTAAAATCAAGTGGTTTTATTTAATTACCGAGTTTTAATAAACCTTTTGCTGAATAATTGCAATTACTAATGGTTAAATTTTGCAGCATATCCCTGGAATAATTCATTTTTTAATGTTTTAATAAAGATCATTTGAGTGAAATTTGTTATCTTTTTATCCAGTGAAACTTGTTTTTTTTTTGTAAAGTGTAATCATATTTCATGATTGTTAACGATCGATTCGCGTCAATCGTAAATTGTTGTATATAATATAAATTCGTAGTTGTAAATACCAAGAGTATATTATTGTATATGAATTACATTAGAAAATATGAGGCGTTTAACGCTAAACTTATAAAGTCGATTTTGATGTGAAACTACAAGCTATTTCGGCAATAATGTCGACTAAAATTGATTTAAAGTTAATTCCGGAGTTTAGTGGTAACAATCAACAATCAGTTGCAGAATGGCAGGAAAAACTGCAAACTAATTGGTGTAAACGATCTGGCGGGCGTTGTTCCCCTCCGTCTCACAAATGGTGCATTTGCAGTATATCAACAGTTAGGAGAAAGTGATAAAGAAGATTTTGACCGGATAAAAAAGGCGTTGCTAAAAGCTTTCGCCGTTGATGCATTTAAAGATAACGAACAATTCGTTACAAGAAAATTAAAGCATGGAGAGGCAGTTGATGTTTATTTGGCGGAACTGCGGAGATTTTTTACGCTAATTGGTGGGCTACCAGACAGAGCTATTGCATGTGCCTTCGTTTCTGGGCTTCCTGAGGAAGTTCAACGGATGCTGAGATCAAGTTCTCGTATCGATGATCTAACTGCTATACAAATACTTGCGCGAGCAAGTGCACTCATGATTGAAGAACGGAACAATGGAGCGAATCAAAATTTTGCTGCTGCAACAAAAAGACGTGCTGAGTTGAGGTTGCTTGAAGATCAAACACAACCAGTTTGTTTTGAATGTAAACTCCCGAATCACTTTGCAAGAGATTGTCATCTACGAAGACATAGCAATCAAAGCAAGTTGGATCGGAGACGGGAGACAAGGGATGTTTTGTGTTACTTGTTTCAAGAGGAAGGACACATATCAAGAATGTTTCCAAAAAATGTGCCGAGGGAGAAGATGTTTGCGCCAGCTCTCCCCAAACGATCAATAATGACGTTACCTACTATAGCTTGGACATTAACGGCGTTCTTCGTGATTAACTTTGGATGTATTTATAAAAAATGTGCGCCAAAAATTACGAAGAAAGTAGTTAGCATGGTAATTGTAAATGGACAACAACAACAGTGCGAAGGCGTTAGCCGAACTCGAATTGTCACGCCAAATGGGAACGAAGTTTTTGTGGAAGCACTTGTAGTTGACTTCAAACCACTTGGTTATTGCTTTTTGATGGGTATGGATGGAATAGAGGCTTTTGGTGGACTATCAATATCTGCAACTCGTGATGTTTGTTTTATGGGAAGAAACGAATCATGTTTACTTGGACTAGAAGTGATATGCCAAAAGATGTCAGTAATTTGAATATAACAACTCGAGATTTCACAGCTTCGTTTGAAAAAGAAAATTGATAATGGATAATTGCGTGGAAATGGAATAATAATTCTCAAACTTTAGTGAACAAGATTTCTGAATACACTATCTCTGTTGGCATAAAACACAATTACGAAAAAGAAATTGAAGGTTGGATAGAAAAAAAATGACTGCAAAAGTACGATTTGAAGAAACACGGCCCAATAAAAAGGTTTGGTTCCTCTCATGGCAGTTGTGCAGCGAAATAAAGGAAAAGTACGACCAGTATTGGACTTCAGGGAGCTGAACACGTTTATTGAAACATTCACTGCAAACACAGATGCGTGTGCTGACAAACTTCGAGACTGGAGACGGTTTGGAGAAAATATTTCAATAATTGATTTATCTTCAGCTTACATGCAACTAAAAATTGATGAAAAACTTTGGGCTTACCAAACTATTGTGTTCCGTGGAAAGAGATTTTGTTTAACACGTTTGGGATTCAGACTAAACGTTCCTTGGTTTACAAGTCAGAATGAAAAATAAAAAATTGTGTTGGAGAAGAGATAATGATTTTGGTGAAATTACGAAATCACTAACAAGACGTAACATCTTTTCTTTGTGTGGTAATATGATGGGAAATCTTCCAGCTTGTGGTTGGTTGCGTGTAGCCTTGTCATATGTTAAAAGAACAGCAAACGCCTTGACGAAAACGTGGGATGAAAAAATAAAATGCAATTATCTGGAGAATGATATGATACAAAGAACACGAAATGACGATCCTGCTAAAGGAATTTGGAGTGTTTACAGTAACGAGGCAACGATTTGGATAGATGCTAGTTCAATAGCACTAGGCGTGGTTGTCGAGGTTGATGACAATATAATCGACGCTTGTTGGTTAAGAAAAGACGACACAACACATATAAACATGTCTGAACTTGATGCAGTAATTAAAGGACTAAATATAGACCTTAATTGAAAAGTGGAAGTTCTATACATCTGCACCGATTCGAAAGCGGTATTCCATTGGGTTACCGACGCACTCACGAAAAAATCTAGATTGAGAACAAAAGCTTCAAACGAAATGCTGATAAGAAGACTTCATAACATTGCGAATATAGTGGAAGAATACCAACTCAAAGTAAATATTAAACTTGTCGCTTCGGAGTTTAACTTGGCCGATGCTCTTATTAGAGTGCCCAATAGTTGGTTAA